CTGAAAAATTCTATCAGTTTCAAATCGTGGTGCTACATTTATGTAGGATGCGACTGTGTGGGAACCGTAATAACTCACGTGTTTAACAAATATAGAAAAACAGTTTATTAAAATTAAATGATTAACAATAAAAGAAGATATTTCGATAGATCGCTCGCATTAGACTCTCGCTATACTCTCTTCGCTTATCCTGTCGTACTCTCTTCCGTCATACTGCCATACTACCCTGCCGCTCAACTTCCATACACTTTTAACTTCACTCCCAATCACTCTTTCTTTCTTTCACATTCATCCCTTTTCACTTGCGCCCTGCCCCTTACACTCACAGCTAGCACTCTCAAAAGTCCACACCTTCCCAATCACGTCATTTTCGCGGTCCAGTTGCTCGGTTCTAAATATTCTTTCTTTGTACGATCGTCATCCACTCAAGATCACCCTGCCTTCAGTCACGCTCTCCCCAAATATACCGCCACCCGGTCGCAACGTAACACCAGCCACACGCCTAAACAGTCATCCATTCATACTTTAAGAACTAAGCACTATAATATAGGTACATATTTATCATACACAGACCACGTCAAACCTTGTCGTATAGAGGTATAGCTTCGAGGCTAGTCCCGCCGTAGTTAAAAGGTTAATGATACATCATGAAAAAGATTATAAAAAGTCAATACTTTTTCATTCAATTTCGCAATGATGTTCCAAATTTCACGCGGCAGTCCCTTGAACGATATTCATATTTCTTACTGTAGCGTTATGTTTTCGACGCTACGATATATTCTCGCTGCGAGGACGCTGGTGCGAATATAGAATCGCGAAGTGCTCCGTGCGAGGACTGCAATCAAAATGCAGTCGCTTTTTGGGGAATCGGACGGTTCCTCTCGGCGGCCAATTTCGTTATTCCTTCCGCGGCTGCGGGAAAAACCGATGTGCTGTCTCCAAAACACCGGGCCTTGCCGCCGTCTCCTGCGTAGATTTTTTATGGTACCCTTTTCGGGGGTGCGGACAGTAGACTTGATGCGTCCTTCAAGAGGAATGATGCAGGGGCGTAAGAGTTTAGAAATGTCTCCTTCATTACTAGTATTGCGATTTCTATCAAATTTCGGGGATTTTCCTTTGTAATTAATACTTTGGTAATTACTTTCAACACTGATTCCTCACCTATTTCGGTGATTTTGAAATATGTTGTGGAGACTTGATTCTAAACAACTTTCCCCTATATATGTTACCGCCGCTCAGCTTTAGTTTTCCAAATATTCACAAATATATGTCCAGGAATGGGCAGTTTTCGTACTTATTTACAAAAAGAGTAACACTCACATGATCTTGATCTTGACGTACATTGTTAAAGTCATTGTTCTATACACTTACAACTTTAAACTTTTTGGCAATGAGTATTGTTTCCAAAGTTACGAACATTAGAGTTCTGCATTGTGCTAGAAATTTACGTCTTCATTTTCATTTATTGAAGTTGTGTTTCTTATAATATGTGTACTCGAACTTCAGTTAGATAATAGAAATTCTAGAAAAAAAAATAGAAAACTAACCCTACTAAACCAATCTCTATTATCTAAATGAATTAACAACATATGTCAAGATCAAGGTCAGACGGAGGTAACTCTTTTTGTAAATAAGTACAAAAATTCCCCATTCCCGGACATATTTTTGCAAATATCAGGAAAACTAAGGCCGAGCGGCGGTAACATGTATAGAGAAAAGTTTTTTAGAATAATAACCTTAACCTCATATTTCAAGGTTATCCGAATAGGTGAGGGTTTACTGTTGTAAATAACTAGCCTCCTTTTGTTTTCTCTTCTATTACTTGTATTTTAAGATTTTGAGAAGCATGTGGTAATTCATCGCACGATCCAATAGCAATCGTAAAATCTTGATATTCGACTGGTAATGAATTTAATATCATTACCGTTACGAGTTTGTAAAATAATCAACTTTTACGGTAAAAATTAACTTTACTCGTACTAAAAAAACATTACAATGAGCTTTATCTGAAACTGAAAGGAACGCAACGATAAACTCTTCTGCTTCTCTTTACTATTCTCTCGTCACATGTCCGTACAGCGCAGAATCGCTTCACGATCTGCGTTTATTTTTTTCTTTTTCATAGCGGTTCGTTACCAAGCAGTTAACATAACTTTTACACAAAAGAAGAACGTGCTCATATGCATTTAGACCAAGCGCACATTTATTGTCACGTACACCTGACACATACATACCTCCAAGCATCTTGTCCATTAAGAGAACCTTACGCTTTGTCGGTCAAAAATTTTGACAATTTTTGTGGAACTGATAAAGTAATGAAAAAACATTTTTTGAGTCCGTAATTTTGTTAACATACACCTTAAATCTTCAAATACAAGAAAAAATTTGTATATAATTTTATAAATGACATTTTATAGAGGTTATTTTGCCTCGCGGAGGTACTTTTAAAAATTTTCATCTGCTAGCGTGCACGATTGCGGCTCACTGGAACGTCTAAAAAAAAAGAATTATCCTGAGAAAAAGTATGACTATGAGCCCAGTATAGACTACGATTATTTTGTTTAAGCAAAAATTCACAAAATGGTGGACCTCCAAAGTTGGTGGTCTCAAAAATAGCATTTTCTTCGTAAAAGAAACGTTAAAAATTTAGAAAGAAATTAATCAATCTTATTTATTCTAGTCTATACTGGGGCTATTGTTGTGTAGAAGAACGTATTAAAATTTTAGACCGATCGGTTAAATGGTTTTTAAGTTATCATGCACGCCGGTTACAAAAACATTGTTTTGAGGAACGAGTTGTCGCATATAAAATCCTCTTACGTTCAATCAGCTATGTCTGCTGCATACAAAATTTCTTTCGACTCCTTATGCGTCTCGTTCTCAAGAGTTTCTTCTTTTTCGTTACATTCATTTAATTAATAATTAATAAATTAGTTTAACACGACCGAAATGCCGCGTGGTCAATTTCCCTGCCTTATACTTGGTGCTATAATCGTCTATAACTTCGAAAGTATTTCGAATTTTCCTCTGAAATTTTCAGAGAATGTTATTCCAATATGATACTTTCCAATAAGATACTTTATAAAAAGTCGGTTTTTCCGACCCGAGAAAGTGTAAGATTTCCTTAAAGCAGCATTCACAATTACATACTCTAGTCAACTAGCTCCTTATAGCTACATATACACATGCTCCTAGCATCCGAACCCTGGCGCCACACTCGACTCACGCGTACTTATGTATGCGGACACATAACACAATTGCTGTACTTTCAAAAGTCTAACAAATCTGGTAGGATTGAAATTTTGTATATAGGTCTCTTTTAGATAGAAAAAATATTTGCGAGAAGGATGTTTTGCGACGCGAAAGTTAAGATACAAAATTTTGCAAAATAGTATTTTATCATTTCAGTGTTACCCCCTGTATTTTTTGAAACTTTTATGCCCTAATTGAGCTAACATTCTACTAACAGCATCATTTTGTACAGGGAAAATATTAACAAAATAGATTTTTAGAAAGTGTAAAGTTACGATACAAAATTTTGCAAAAAAGCGTTTTATCGATGTAGTGTCAGTCCCTACGTTACCGTCAGAGTACAGAACAAGTACCGCTTCACGATGCTCACTGGAACAGTTATTTTTTAAAACGTCTAGGAACATTGTACTCACTGGGAAGGGAATAAGGTGTTTTAGATTAGTACAATGGCAAACATTTCTCGCGTAACATTTAACTTTCAATACTAATGACCCATTATAAACCGGTGACTGGTACCGGCTAGTTGGAGATCTTTGGCCATATGCTTAAGTCATCCTTTGTTTCTATACTGCGACACAAGTCTGCACAAGTGCACCTGACCGAGTGTATCAAACAAAAGGTGCAATTGGGGGTCCAGGAATAATTGTCGAAGTAGACGAACGTAAAATTGGCCGCAGAAAATTTAAGGAGGTACGGTTACGGGAAGCAATATTGATAATCCATACAGTATAGATATACAAAGAAATATTTTCAATATTATATATTGACGGTATTTCAAATTTATGTCCGATATAGGTTTCGGTTAGTTGTTTCATGGGATAGGGGTGCAGGGAGAGAGATCTTGCCCCTCCTCTGCCCAGGCATTTACTTTTCAATCACCACAGATTATATCAGTACAAATGTGTGAGACACTTAAATATTTATATTTAAATTCTATTTATTGACAGATTTGATATAGCGTGTACAAGTTCGAAATACGCTCGAAGAATCGGAGACATCAGGAGCTTCGTAACTCTAATAACAAAACGTGAAGCTCCTAGAACCGAGATTCATACAGATTGTTGGAGGAGCTATATAAATTTAGAAAAATATGGATATATTCAGATAACTGAGCCATTCGCAGAATTCTGTGCATCCTGCAAGCAGTACATACACGTAAAACATTAAATTGTCTTGGTGGAGTTTGCGAGCCTGATTAAGAAAGGGCATGATAAAAGAAGACTCATTAATAGGCCCTCTACGCGAATATTTATGGAGATATGAAGTAAAAAAAACTGAGGATGGTCACTTCATGTGATGAATAAATGATATAAAATATGTATACAATTCAAAATAATAAAGAAAAAGTATCAAATACTATTCTGATTTTATTCTATGTTTGGCGACATAGGGAGTAACATTATAATGGTAAAATGGTTTTTTGTAAACTTTTTATCTGAACCTTCGCATGGCAAAAACGATGTTCTTTTCGCGAACGTTCTTTCCCGTTTGTCAGACTTTCAGAAGTTTCGCCCGCAAACAGCGTTCTCCCACTGCCTCTACTCCAAGCGCCGTGTATGAGAGCAATTTCACATAGTGTTCAATACAAACAGGCAAAAGTAGATATGGAAAGGATAACTTTCCATGAGGCGAAAGTTACTATGGAGCTCGCAAACTTTCAGTTACACAGTCCTGTGTTACATCATTTCATAATAACAAAGGGGTAAATTAATAACACAGATTCTTTTTTAATTTAACAAATTCTTTATTCGTTTTATAATTTCTGCACGATTAGTTTAAAGAGGTAAGCCATTTACGGTTAGACAATTTATGTGCGTTATGTATGATTAAATAATTACTTTCAATTGAGTTCATTTTAATTATCGAAAGACATGTTATAACTGGTTTTTAAGCATTTTGCCATTGATTCAATTAATTTCACGAAGCCGGTATCCTTTGGTTTCTCTAGTCCTCTTAAAACTCTGTTTTTCATAACAGCAACGAATTCCTTATTGCTTAATTGGCCATCCACTGAAAAATATAAGGAATGAAATCATTCTTTCTTACCCGAACACATGTATTTTATAATATTAGATTGCTGCGTAAGTTCTGTCCGTTTCAATGTATCGCCTACAAATTTGATTTTTAGAAACATTTGATGATTATTCCTTTTTTATAAAACTCTCCAGATTTATTGTTAAAACATAATCTTATTACACTTCTTATTCTCTGGAAAGTATTGGCATTTTTTCCAATCAAATGGTTTTGAAAAATATGGGGAATATGCTGGGTACGGAATAAGTTCTTGTTTTAGTTCTGATATTTTTTTTTTCTGTTT